GAGAGAGAGAGGGAGAGAGAGAGAGTTTCATTGCATGACCAGGTAGACAGACACCTCAGAACAGTTGGGGACCTCTCTGGTGCTCATATGGAATTAAGGTGAGGTCTGGGAGTGTGAGGGGGAATTGCGGCACCTCGTGCATCAAGGAAAGGAAATGTCAAGGTGGCTCTTGACATCTGGTCAAGGCATGCTGGGGGTGGAGTCAAGGAAACCTAGGTCTGAATTCTGCCTCAGACACTTGCTAGCTGTGTGACCTTGGACAAGTCACTGAACAGAACACGTAACACTCCTGGGAATCTAGAAAGCAAACAGTAGTACTACTGCCTCCACAAGACAGTGCCCTCACACCCAGGAGCCCACTCTGCCTTCTCTTTTCTTTTCTCTGTGATTCTCCAACAGCTGCCAAGGATCTGGTGCGCCAGCTGCTGCTGGTGGACCCCAAGAAGCGCTACACGGCCCACCAAGTTCTTGAGCATCCGTGGATCAAGGCTACTGGGAAGGCCAACCCTGTTAGCCTGCAGACAGGCATGACAGCGGCCAGTGAGCTCCCCTCCAGGAGCCAGGGCAGGAATGCCCCGCAAGGAGACACACAGGGGAGAGGGGCCGCCCTGTGTCTGTGAACAGCCTCGAGGGCCTGCCCTTAGGGAAGCGGCAGACAAACCCACAGAGGCAGAGATAGATGGGGGGGGATTGTGGGGTATGTGTGTGTGGAGAGAGAGAGACAAAAAAATGGTCAGAAAAAGGGAGAGAGGGAGGGGAAAAAGAGGGGAAGAAGAGGCAGAGAGATTGAGAGATCGTGACAGAGAAGAGAGGGGGTGAGAGACACAGAGACAGAGAGACAGAGAAGAGAGAGGGAGTGGGGGAGAGAGGGGGGAGGGGGAAGAGGAGGAGAGGGAGAGGGAGAGAGAGAGAGACAGAGAGACAGAGAGAGAGAACAGAAGAGGGGAGAGGCAGAGACAGACAGAGAGACAGTGAGACAGAGAGAAAGAAGAGAGGAGAGAGGCAGAGACAGAGACAGAGAGAAGAGAGAGAGTGAGAGTGACAGTGAGACAGAGAGAGAGAGGGAGAGAGAGAGAGAGAGGGGAGAGAGAGAGGGGAGAGAGACAGAAACAGAGACAGAGGGAGAGAAGCAGAGAGAGATTCGCCTTCAGCAATGGTGCAGACAAGCCGTTCTCTCTCCCCACATGTCTGTCTCTTCCACACCCCCCCAGCAAATGGTAAGCCCCTTGAGGGCGTCCTCGTGTCCCAGTGCCTTGTACCTAACAGGCACCTCACAAATGTTTGTTGAATTAAATTGTTTTATGTATCTGAAGTATTTAAAACCTGGAACTTTTAAAATGTTTAAGTCACTTTGCTGATGACTTTGTTACCGTAATTGTCACAGAGTAACAGGATGGTTTGGGACCCTTTGTAATGAACTTCAGGTGTAACGTGTGGAAGTCAGTGCTGAGCAGGGAAAGGCCGGAGCCACGGCCCGAGCTGCGCCCTGAGCCAGCGTGCAGGGGTACAATCCGGGACTCTCTGAGGAATAAAGAGTTTCACAAAAGCGCATTGTGGCTTCTGCTTTGCTTCCTCCTCCCTGGCCCTGCCCCCCCCCTCCCCCCTCCGCCCCCCCCCCCCCCCTCTGCCCCTCCCCCCCAGCTCTGCCCCTCCCCTCCCAGCTCTGCCCTCCGCCTCTGCCCCTCCCCCTCCGTGGCCCTGCCCCTCCCCTCCCAGCTCTGCCCCTCCCCCTCCCAGCTCTGCCCTTCCGGAGGTACAGAATCACTCCGCAGCACAATACTGGGCGTGGGAGGTGCGATGATCCCGTGGGGGACTCTTTGGGCCCCCACCGAGCTTAAGGACGTGTCTTCTTGCTGCTTGGCTCGAGTCCTGCCCAGGAAAGCAACGATTCGGTGTCCCCTGCTCCCCCCTTCCCCCAGCCCCCAAATCGCGGGCACTCCTTTGTTCTTGGCCCGCCTTTATACGGGGCATCCCTAGATGCTCCCCACTGCCCCGGAAGAATCCATCAGCTGGCAATCACTGAACGACTGCTCTGGGCCAGGCACAAAACCAAAAATGCCAGCGCCCCCGCTCTCCAGGGGCTCACGCTCTGATGGGGGGACAACATGCTGCGCTCTGGTCACACCGGCCTCCTGCCACCTCCCCGCCCTGGGCATTTTCACTGGCATGCTCTCTCTTCTCCCTCCACCTAAAACCCCACAGGCCTCCCTAATCTTAGGCCCCCTCCCTCGATTTGTTTCCCAACTCATCCTGTCTCTCTGAGTGTTTGAACACAGTTGTTTGCATGTTGCCCCCCCCCCCCCATTAGAGTGTGAGAGCCCTTTGCCTTTAACTGCCCGGTGCTTGTCACATAATAGGTGCTTAACCAAGGCTTGTTGGGTGATTTAATGATGGACACAAAGTAGCTCAAAGGGAACTTCAGAGAGCACGGAGCTGGCAGCTGGGAGGTCTCATGGAGAAGGCAGCGCATGAGCTGAGGCTTGAAGGGAGCAGGGGGTAGAGGTGAGGAGGGAGAGCTTTGCAGGTCTGAGGGATGACCAGTCCCGAGGCATGAAGATGGGAGCCGGAGTGTAGCTTTAAAAACATCTCCAAATTTGCTGGTCTGACTCTCCTTACCTGGCACTGAGCATAGCCTGGCCTTTCACCAGGAGGCCAGGTCACTGACTCTCAGGGTCTCAGAGCTGGATGGGACATCGGAAGCCAGCCACTTATGCCTGGACAGGAATCTCTTCTCCAGCCTCCCAGAGAGGAGCCCATCCCGTGTTTGCTTGAAGGGGAGGCCACTACTTCCAGGGGCTTCCTGTCCCTCCAGTGCAAACCTCAGTGAATTCTGCTCTGTTGTAGCCACAAGCAATCCTGACCCTGCGGCCAGACTTGCGGTAATGAGCATTCCCTACATTACTTTGGAGGAAAAGGAGAGAAGCAATGACCTTGGGCTCCCAAAACCTGTGCCAGTGATGGTGGTGAGAGCAAGCCTGGCAATCCCACCAAACTGGAAAGAGCTCCTACTTCAAATGAGATCAAATGAGAGAATATTTGTACGGCACTTAGCACAGTGCCTGGCACACAGTAGATGCTATAAAAATGTTTATTCCTTACTCCCGCTTCCTCCCTTTCCATTCTGCCCCCCCAACTCCTTTTGCTTCCCTTCCCTTTCCTCTTTTGTTTAAAATAATCTTATTTCCCCCATTTACATGTTAAAACAATTAAAATTTTTTTTAAAAATTTTGAGTTCCAAATTCTATTCCTCCTTCCCTTCACTTTCCCCTTCTGAGACAGTAAGCAATCTGATATAGGTTATACATGTGCAATCATATAAAACATTTCCATATTAGCCATTTTGTACAAGAAGACTCAAACAAAAAAGAAAGAAGGAAAGAAAGTGAAAACTAGTGTGCTTCAGTCTATATTCAGACAATATCAGTTCTTTCCGTGGAGGTGGATAGCATGCTTCATCATGAGCCTTTGGGATTATCTTGGATCGTTGCATTGTTGAGAAGAGCTGAGTCATTCATAGTTCTTCATCCAACAATGTTGCTGTGACTGTGTACAATGTCCTCCTGAGTCTGTTCGCTTCACTCTGCATCAGTTCATGTAAGTCTTTCAAGGTTTTTCATAAATCATCCTGCTTGTTATTCCTTGTGGCACAATAATCTTCCATCATAATTATATACCACAACTTATTCAGCCATTCCCCAATTAATGGGCATCTTCTCAATTTCCAATTCTTAGCCACCACAAAAAGAGCTACTACAAATATTCACTTTCCTCTTAATAATTCTCCATCAATGGTAATAGGTGCATTTCATAGAATAAAAAAGATTCAGAGTCAAAATGAAGTATCCAGAGCCAATCAATCAGCATTTATGAAGTGCTGACTGTGTGCCAGGCACTGTCAGGTGCTGGTAATAGAAGTCCAAAGAATGAAGCAGGATCTGCCCTCCTGGAGCTGACATCCTCATGGGGGAGGGAGCAGGTGCATATATAAATGTGTACAGCAGAGGATCACGACAAGCAGTACAGATAAATAGATGGGAGTTCAGTAAAAGGTTGGGGGGGTCACTAACAGGGGGATCAGAAAAGGCTTCATGGGGAAGATGCTGCTCGTGCTGCGTTTGAAGGAAGAAAGAAAGTCCGAGGCAGGAGCAGGGATAGAGTGCATTCCAGCATAGGGGGATGACCAGGCATTCCTCTTTCTTACCCCTTAATTTAATTTTTTAGGTATCATCCCATTGTATTCAATAATAAGAAAGTTCTTAGGAGTTACCAGTATCATCTTCCTATATTGGAATGTAAAAAATTTAACCTTATTGAAACCCTTATGATTTCTCTTTCTTGTTTATGTTTCTATGTTTCTCTTGAGTCGTGTATTTAAAAACCAAATTTTCATTCAGCTCTGGTTTTCTTGTCAGGAATGCTTGAAAGTCCCCAATTTTATTAAATGTTCAATTTCCCCTGGAAGGATTATACTCTTGTTGGGCAGGTAATTCTTAGTTGTTATCCTAGCTTTTTTGCCCTCCAGAATATCATATTCCAAGCCCTCTGATTCTTTAATACACAATATGCTAAATCTTACATTATTCTGACTGTGGCTCCATGATATTTAAGTCGTTTCTTTCTGACAGCTTGCTATTCTTAATCCTTGACCTGGGAACTCTGGAATTTGGCTGTAATATTCCTGGGAGTTTTCCTTTTGGGATCTCTTTCAGGAGGTGATCGCTGGATTTTTTCCATTTCTATTTTACCCTCTGGTTCTAGAATATCAGGGCAGTTTTCCTTGATAATTTCTTGAAAGGTGATGCCCAGGCTCTTTTTTTTTTGTCATGACTTTCAGGTAGTCTAATAATTCTTAAATTATCTCTCTTCAATCTATTTTCCAGGTCAGTTGTTTTCTTCCAATGAGATATTTCACATTTTCTTCTTTTTTCCCCATTTTTTTGATTTTTAAAAATTTAGTTTCAACTTACTCAATTCTAATTTTTAAGGAATTATTTTCTTCAGTGAGCTTTTGTGCTTCCTTTTCCATTTGGCCAATTCTAGTATTTAAGGAGTTTTTCTTCAGTGAAATTTTGTGCTTCTTTTACCATTTGACCTATTCTGTTTTTTTAAGGTGTTATTTTCCTCAGTATTTTTTTTGTGTGCTTCCTTTACAGAGTATTTGACTCTTTTTTCATGATTTTCTTGCATCACTCTCATTTTTTTTTCTGAATTTTTTCTCTACCTCTCTTATTTGATTGTTAAAATCTTGTTTGAGTTTTTCCAGGAATTCTTTTTGGGCCTGAGATCAATTCACATTTTTTTGAGGGGGGGCAGGTTTTGAATGTAGTAGCTTTAACTTTGTTGTCTTCTGAGTTTGTGTTTTGATCTTCCCTGTCACCACGGTAACTTTCTATGTTGTCTGCTCATCTTTTCCAGCCTATTTCTTAACTTTTAACTTGATGTTAAACTTAGACTCTGCTCCTGGGAGGGAGGTGGTGCTATCCCAAGCTTCAGGTTTTTTTTGTGCAGCTGTTTTCAGAGCTAGTTCTGGGGGTCTGTGAGTTTCCCATTTTTCCAAAGTGGTCTGATCTAAGGAGAGATGTGTTTTACTACTCTCCTGACCTGTGCTCTGGTCTGTAAG